TTTATATATATATATATATATATATAATATCCAATACGAGTATAAATTCTCGTGAATTCGAATGTACATCGCTACTATATACGCCAAGATATTCCCGCACAAGTACACATATTTCCATATTTTTCTACAGGCCCTTCTATAAGCATGTTGCCTTCTATAGACTGTAGATATCCCTGTACAGGCTCGCTTATGTGCATGGACATTACAATATAAGGAATGTAGTTCGTATGAACACTTTCCATTGAAATAGCGATAGAGCAAGAAGAGGCTTGCGACGTTTCGTCTGTGAAGAAAGAGGTTGTAGGGTGGAAGATCATTTCGCGCCCACGGGGATACTGAGACGCTTTTGGAATTTGAAAAAGCGAAAACTAGGAAACCCCTGCACATATAAAATATGTGAAGGGCTACATTGATCCTAGAAAATCAGTATCAGGCAAAATAGTAAATCTTTTTCATTATTATGGTCGGCATGGAAACCGATATACAGGGTCTGGCAAAAGTCGCGCACTGTAGGGATAATTTGTTAAAAGTATAATTACTCATGAAAATTTACTAGTTATTTAATTGTTATGTGCTGCTCAAAATGTCCTGTTTTTTTTTTCAAAACTCATTTCAGTTCTGTGCCTGACTGATTCATTCACACGTCGAAGAGATTCCTTTGTCATTTTACTGCATTCATATTTAAGTCTTTCTTTAAGTTCATTAATATTTCTTGGACGCGTCTGATAAAAAAACTGATTTCAAATGGTCCCACAAGAAAAAAAAATCTACGGGTATGAGGTTTGGTGACCTCGGTGACCACTCAACAGAACCTCTTTGACCTATCCATTAGCCCCTATGGTGCGTGTCTTTTGCCTCAACCTCTATACGCAGAGAGATGGCGAAGAAATTATTTCATTCTTCTTTTCCTACGGAGAGTTAAAATGATTAATTATAGATACAAAGATATTGGATGAATAAGGTAACTGAAATTTATGTATGTGATCAATCGTCAAATTTATTCTCATGAAAACCACTCGCGAATCCCACTGGGTAGTCTAGCAGGCAGAATTTTCTACGGGTCTGCTATGTGCGTTACACAAGCATAGTTATTTGTAAACAGGCCCCTACATACGGTAAGAGATGTAAGCAATATAATAATAGTGTACGGAAAAGGGTTTTTTTTGCCGCCTTTTCTCTCTCTTGGGCACCAAAGTTCTCTTAAATATTCTTCAGTGATTTTTCCTCGTTAACCTTTACGACGAGACTTAAATAACAATTCATTTCCTTTCAGGAAATACAATGGCAACTGTTTACGTTCTGCTTCAGGAATAAGTGGCAAACAATTGAGACATTTCCTCTATTCGTCAGGTTTGAGTTGGGGTTGGAATACCACATTAGGCGATCTGCAGTTCCGATGTCTTAACAAAAAAAAGAATTGATATTACCGTATCTACTCGGGTATCATGAAGACTTAATTTTGAAGCTAATTTGAAAACGCTAAATGAAAATATTATGCTGTAACCTAGAAAGGATTACTGAATGAGAATAACCAAAACAGAGGTTCGAAATGAAATGGTAATCATTATAACATCACCAAATTTCAATACTCGCCAGCGACGTGAAGTAGGTAAACCACTGCTAGTGGTGGACTACTTAGACACCATATTACATCCACTTACAATAGTGCTCAACGTATTTACGAGAATTGGGACATAGAAATGTTAATAGGTATGGTATATAACATATAGTTTGATCAACGACGTTGCAAGGGCCAGCAGTGCATAGCTACTTGTATATCTCGTGTATGAAGCGACCCCCTTAAAATTAGCTTCCAAAGTCGCATGATACGTGTGTATATACGGTATGCATAAAATAACTTATCAGATTAATATTTTTTCTTTTTCTGTCGATTTATTTCTCTTTGTTGCCAGTTGTACAACAGTTAACGACTCATAAAGAGAAGTCAGCGTAGCCGAGCTCGTTACATTGACTTTCGCACAAATACCTTCGGGAGAGGTATGAGTCCATATCTTCTCTCCTTAGTTGTTGGTTAAATAGTAAGCTAAACTAGGCTATCTAGCTGTGTTTGCTAATTAGCCGAGCAGAAGGACAACTTTAAGTTCAAAACCGGGATCCCTGGCGATGTGTAAATTATTACAACTATTAAAAACATAATACAATACCCGAGGTACCATGAATCCAAGACAAGCAAAGATGGGTAGTTGCAACTTGAAAAAAATGAAAGGCTGGGCAAGTTACCGCAAAGGCAAAGGGATGACGAGAAAGAACAAGTATTTCTGATAGTGGGGTGCTTTGGTAAGTTAACATATATCAGCGGTTAAATTGGAATCGACGAGCAAAGTTCAAATTTCGGACTGGTCTGTTACGTTCACTTTTTCAAAAATGCTCTTTGGGTGACAAACATGAAAGCAAACTTGGATCTTCGTGCTCAAAAAAAAAAAAAATAAAAAATAAAAAAAATAAACGGAGTATCGAAATGACGATTTTTTCCTTGACACCGCTATTAATTTAACTACCTTCACTCCTCGTCAATTTTTATTGTTTTAAAAAGCGATGGTTAGTTAGCATTGCAATAAAACCTAAGCATATGAAAGTGAATTGATATACAGTGTAACCCGGATATAAAAGAGTTGTCGGGACCGGAGAAGAAGTCTCTTATATCCGGATTTCTCTTATATCCGGGTTTGGTCTATTTTATATACATTAACACAGGCTCTAATCTGGGATCAGAGAAAATCTCTCTTATATCCGGGTTTCTCTTATATCCGGGTTTGGTCTATTTTATATACATTAACACAGGCTCTAATCTGGGATCAGAGAAAATCTCTTATATCCGGGTTTCTCTTATATCCGGGTTTGGTCTATTTTATATACATTAACACAGGCTCTAATCTGGGATCAGAGAAATCTCTCTTATATCCGGATTTCTCTTATATCCGGGTTTGGTCTATTTTATATACATTAACACAGGCTCTAATCTGGGATCAGAGAAAATCTCTCTATATCCGGGTTTCTCTTATATCCGGGTTTGGTCTATTTTATATACATTAACACAGGCTCTAATCTGGGATCAGAGAAAATCTCTCTTATATCCGGGTTTCTCTTATATCCGGGTTTGGTCTATTTTATATACATTAACACAGGCACTAATCTGGGATCAGAGAAAATCTCTCTTATATCCGGGTTTCTCTTATATCCGGGTTTGGTCTATTTTATATACATTAACACAGGCTCTAATCTGGGATCAGAGAAAATCTCTCTTATATCCGGGTTTCTCTTATATCCGGGTTTGGTCTATTTTATATACATTAACACAGGCTCTAATCTGGGATCAGAGAAATATCTCTCTTATATCCGGGTTTCTCTTATATCCGGGTTTGGTCTATTTTATATACATTAACACAGGCTCTAATCTGGGACCAGAGAAAATCTCTTATATCCGGGTTTCTCTTATATCCGGGTTTGGTCTATTTTATATACATTAACACAGGCTCTAATCTGGGATCAGAGAAAATCTCTCTTATATCCGGGTTTCTCTTATATCCGGGTCTCTTATATCCGGGTTACACTGTATTTGCTTTATTCTAGAGATTTGACAACAACAATAATGAACATTATTAGATTGCACACTATTTACATCATTAAATAATGTAAATAGTGTACATAATACATCAACTCAGAAATATAGACAGATACTATTAGATTGTTTATTGGAATTATTGACAATCAAAACCTGCAACCTCACTCTTACAAACCAAATATCGCAAGCCGCTAACTGCTCTGTTGCTACTTTCATGGAAAGTGCTCGGACCAACTGCATTCCTTAGTTCCACCAGTTTTAACCTTCACGGCTTTGATCCGCCATGCTCTGCACATTGTAGTGAACCACCTTCATTCCCTTCGTATTCCATAGGTGGCAAGTAAGTTGCACTCGAACAGCTTCTTTCAGCGAATCACTCAACTCTGGAACAGAATCCCAAGTGGATGTTTTCTCGATCACTACAATCTTAGCCTGTTCAACTCTAGGGTTAACCGTTATATTTTCCACATATCCGCATAATCTGTACCTCTTACTCTACCTTGAGTGGCTTCCTGGCTTTGTGAAAAGTTGCCCATCATTGTAAAAAAGGAAAATGACAGACGACATTTCTGTAATTATGCTAATTAATATAACCACGGCTATGTGGAACTGACTCCTAACAAAATGCTTCCCTGATCACTGCAATCTTAACTTGATCAGATCTAGAGTTAACCATTATCTTCCCCACATATCCACATAAACTATACCTCTTACTCTGTAACTCTCTATCTCGAGTGGCTCCCGAGCATTGTACAGGTTGAGTCTCGCTGCAAAAAAGGAGAAAAAAACAAAGTTAATTACCAGTACGATTTAAGGATTTACTTGAGATACGTAGCTTATCTGGTAAGTTACACTTATTTTTCAAAACCTTTTTCAACCATTATTATCCAAATTTGCATGTTTATTAAAATTATATTTAAAAAAAACATCTATTTGGAACGTTTATTTGAGCCGGCACGCTAACTTTATAGCGATTTAGTAAGTGAAGCTTAACTGTGGCACAAGGCCGAAATTATTGAGCACCTAGCAAGGATCGAATTCACTACTCAATCATACTTTTTTTTTTTATCTCGCGAGTCAAACTTGCAAATCATTACAGCAACCACGTCGAAATTCCCCGGCACGCTAATTTCGAAAAATATAATAGGTTGGAATATTCCAGACGTTAATTTTATTTGATTTAAAAGAGTAACAAAAGACAGGAAACTATGGAGAACTATAAACGCCTATGTCCTGAAGGGATATGGCACTTCCACGCTTCCCAGGCTAAAAACAATGAAATTATTTGATAGTATTTGATATTTTTTGAGCCTTTTCAGTTCTTTTGTTTCTGAAATTTTTTTTTTTTTTTTTTTTTATGAATTCCTTATTGTATTTTTCGGATTTTTTTTCTACCCCCATTTTTTTTTCTCTGCAGAGCGTCATTTTGGTTTCTCAAAGGCATTCATATTCACATCAGTAAATCTTTCTTTTCTGTGCAATCTAGTTGGCAAAAGGTCAGAGAGTTTCGTGAATAGATCAAGGTTCGTTTCACAACTTGGCCAAGAATCAAAGTTGGGCTTTTGCCTTGCTTCCCTTTTGTCTTGTACATTCATATTATTTTTTTTTTCTATGTTTAAAACCACAGCGTTTCCGTATAGTCCTTTTTTGTTCATTGTTTTCCACTCACACTTCCTCTCCTCTCCCTTATTATTGCTCTCCCACTCTTCCCCCCCACACTGTATCGTCCTCCTTCTCTCTATCATTCCTTCAGTATTGAATTCCCCCTCTTTATCATTACCTCAGTATCGTATTCCCCCTCTCCCTCTTTCTCTCTCTCTCTCATTCCCTTAGTATCGTATTAACTCTCTCTCTCTCTCTCGTTCTCTCAGTATCGTATTCCTCTCTCTCTCTCATTCTCTCAGTATCGTATTCCCTCTCTCTCTCATTCTCTCAGTATCGTATTCTCTCTCTCTCTCGTTCTCTCAGTATCGTATTCCCTCTCTCTCTCTCGTTCTCTTAGTATCGTATTCCCTCTCTCTCTCTCTCTCTCTCAGTATCGTATTCCCTCTCTCTCTCTCTCAGTATCGTATTTTCTCTCATTATTGTATTCCCCTCTCTCTCTCTCTCTATCGTATTTTCTCTCAGTATTGTATTCCCCCTCTCTCACTCTCTCTCTCTTATTCCCTCAGTATCATATTCCCTCTCTCTCTCTCTCTCAGTATCGTATTCACCCTTTCTTTCATTCCTATATTATCATATTCCCGCTCTCGTTTGCTCACTCTCTCTTCCTCTCTCAGTATCTTTATCCTTCTCTATTTTCCTTCCTCGCTATCTTTTTCTCTTCTCTTTGCCTCTCTCCTTATCCCTCTCCATTTTCCTCCCTCGCTCCATCTCCTCTATTTTTGCATTGTATTGTTTTTTTTCACTCCCTCTTTCTCTGTATTGTTTTTCACTCTCTCCCTGATTTTTACTCTCTCTCACTTTCTCCCTTATTTCCACTGTCTCTCTCACTCTTTCCCTGAATTTTCTCTCTGTTTATCACTATCTCTTTCTCTGTTTATCACCCTCTCTCTCTGTCACTCACTCACTCTTTGTTTGTTTTTTTTTTTTCATTTTTTTCTACTGATTTTTCACTTTCTCTCTCTCTCTGTCTTTGCAACGTTTCTTTTTCAACTCTCTTTGCAGCGTTCTTTTGGAAACTCTGTCTCGGAACCGCTTTTTCTCTCTGAATCATCATCTCTCGCTCCAACTCTCTCTCCACGATATCCTCTCTTTTTCTTTGTATCGTTCTTTCTATTCTCTCTATGCCTCTGCTTTCTTTCTTCCTCTTTCTCTGTCCCTCTCTTCGGCCCCGCTCTCTTTCCCCTCTCTCTTCCCCTCTCTCTCTCTCTTTCCTCTCTCCTCTTTCCTCTCTCTTCTTTCCTCTCTCTTCTCTTTCCTCTCTCTTCCCATTCTTCTCCCATTCTTCTCTCTCCTTTCCTCTCTCTCCTCTCTCTCCTGTCACTTTCTTTTTTCCACTCTCCCCCTCACCTTCTCCTCTCTCCCCCTCACCTTCTCCTCTCTCTCCCCACCTTCTCCCTCTCTCTCTCCTTTTATCCTCTCTCCTTCCTCTCTTTCTCTCTCTCTCTTTCCTCTCTCTCCTGTCACTTTCTTTTTCCACTCTCTCCCCTCACCTTCTCCTCTCTCTCCCCTCACCTTCTCCTCTCTCTCCCCTCACCTTCTCCTCTCTCTCCTCTTTATCCTCTCTCCTTCCTCTTTCTTCTCTCTCTCCTCTTTATCCTCTCTCCTTCCTCTCTTTCTTCTCTCTCTCCTCTCCTCTCTCTCCTCTCTCTCCTTTCCTCTCTTCTCTCCTCTCTTCTTTCTCCTCTCTCCTTTCCTCTTTCCTCTCTCCTTTCCTCTCTCCTTTCCTCTCTCTCCTGTCACTTTCTTTTTCCACTCTCTCCCTCTCCTTCCCCTCTCTCCCTCTCTTCATACTTAGTCTTTTTTTCAAGTAACATTTTCTAAAATTCCATCAAATTTGACTGAAATGTCCCCATCAAAGACTGGCTTTGTTGGTAAATGACTCTATAGTTTTTCTTTCTTTTTTTCCTTTTTTTTTCCATTCATTTTTGTGTTTGATTAAGAGTCAAGAGATTTTCAGATTCCTTAATTTCCCTGCCTTCGTACAGAAATGTGATGGGTGGGAGACCTGAAAGCCACAGCCGGGAGGGTGAATCTAAGGTTAAAGGTGAACCTGTCTTTAGTGAACAGAAAGGACATTTTTTTGGATTTGCCTTTCAAATTGATACCCCCCTTGTTTGTGAATATTGACTTAGAAGCAACAGGAAGAAGTGGATTCTCTAAAGATTAATATCAACGCGCAGTAAGGGGAGGCAGTGTGTGATGGAAGCGGCGTCTTGAGGAGAACAAGGAATTTTCTCTGATTTTTCTCTTTGTTGATATTCGCTATAGATTTATCATTCCGCTTGGCTCGATGTAACGGAATTTTTATTTTTGAATTAATTATTATTCAGATAAATATCTTCAACCTTTTTTTTATACCATGGATATTTTGGACAGTGCGTTCTTCAACATTCCTCATTTCGTCATTTTTTTTATTTTAATTATTTAATTTTTTTTCAACTGCTAATTTTTAAATTATTGTCTATAATATCCAGTAGATTGAAAAATAAAATAGCCACTTTATGTACTGTTGGTACTTTGTCATTTCAGGAATTGGTTATCATGACTCTCTACACGTTCTTTCTCTTAAATATATGTGAATTACCATGGATTCTTGGGAAAGACAATGGAGTGTTTTTTATCCATTGCCTTCTTTACATTTCGAAATTCAGATGTTTCCTTATCTTAGCCCAGTCTACTCTATTATTTAACCCGTAACAGGGAGTAGCAGAGAGCAATTCAAGAGAATAACTATATATAAAATTCTGTAACTTTCATTAGTTCGTCCGTCACACTCTCAAAAATAGTCATACATACTAATCAAAACCAAATTTTTGAGAGAAGTGTCAACAGTTAAATGGGTACAAAGTACAGTTGGTTTTACTAGGATGCATAGCTTCGTACAATAATTTTTAATTATTTATTTTTTTTATTTTTCTTTTGGGGTGAGAAATTTTAAAAAAAAATTATTTAACATACTAAATACTCCAACTTTTTTAAAAACAATTTAATGATTAGAATAAATACTTATTTAATAAAATTTTCTTTTTTTTCTCTTTTTTTTTGCATATTTAAAAATTTAAAAATTTTATATTTAATTGATTTGTTTACGACATTAAACGAAATATATTCTTTGTAAATCTCGACAAAAAATTTTATGGATAACGTCAACAATACTAAATATTGTGAGAATTTCAACACAAGTCGGCATGTTGCGATAAAATTCTAGTTAGGGTAAAAATGGACATAGCAAGCTCTATTAAAATCGGAACTTGGCACGATGTTTACACTTTCGACGCCGATATCCGTTACACTACCTGCACATCCTTCTTTTCAATGTATCGTAATGATATTGCCCGTGATTCTCCACATCACATGACCTACTTTGTCTGATGCCAATCTTTTACGAGGTTTGTAATAGCGAAAGCAATATCGTGTAAACATTTTATGCAGAATTTATGTGTCTAAATGTAAACGCAATAAAACCAGTGAGTCTGTATACTGATCCTGGATTAAGTGTTTACATATACAGGTAGAATCAAATGTTAGCTTTTTTGTGTGTGTGTGTTATGTATAAGGTTGGTGCAAATATTTTCTAGCTTTTTTTTTTTTTAACTAAATCTTGTATATATTTCAGTTATATATTTTTTATATATTTCATACGACCATAATTCAAGGATCAGAATATTTTGCTCGGCTTTCTATGCTCTTACACCATCTTTCAGCTTAAATGTGCATTTTGTCAAATACAAAGAACGATCCACATACATATATATATATATATGTATGTATATATATATATATATATTCTGCTATTATCTGTAAAGGAACAAAATGAATAAAAAGACAAGAGGAAAAACTATTTATAGTCGACGCGTTTCGTTCTCTGAGGAACTTTATCACGGCAATCACATAGAGGGCGAAACGCGTCGACTATAAATAGTTTTTCCTCTTCTCTTTTTATCCACATATATAAAGTTTGGATGAGAATCCGATGGAATGGTAAATATATAAGACAATTTGGGAAACATTTTTATATATATTTCGCCGACGAAAAGATTTTTATTCTAACCAAATCTACTTCAGCGTGTAATAATGTGATTTTTTTTAATTTTTTTTTTTTTTGTATCAATTCACACCAAGCAAGGCAACAATGACACTAAAACGCAAAAGAGGTACTGGGTGTGAAAGAGAATAAAAAAGACTTTAAGGAAACGGAAATTCAATCTTAAACAGGAAACAAAAGAAAAAACCCTACTCTTGGCAGGAATTGTTAAGTATATATACGCTTACAGAGATGAGTTTAGCCTAAGATAAGGGCAGGCAAAAATTGCCTTGGTGGACCCATTAAAAATGAGAACACCTCGGCAATAACTAAGAACACCACCGAAATGTTTTTCGTATTTTCAAATTTATGTTTATCAAAGCGCTCCTTTACTTTCCGACAGGAATATTAGTAATTTCTTAATATATTATTTGATAATATATTATTTAATACAATTAATATTATTTAATAATTCAATATATTATTTAATATTAGGTAAAAATATTTTCTCGACTAATTTTTGTTGCCTAGCATTCAGAAGAACTTCCTATACTCGGGCAATTTTTCAGAATCGAAAAACATTAATTTTCTAATATTTTATATAGGGGGTACTGTTTACAATATAAAAACAAAGTCAAAATAATCCCTGACTTTTTGACATACATGTTGTTTTTTCCTTTTTGAGAGGACCAGTCTATTTAAGTATTGCTGTTTTAAAATGAGATGTATTATTACTATGTAATGTGTGTATATACATATGATATTCACTTCATTTCTGGTAGACATAAATGTTGCAAGATTGAAAAAAAACTGTAACATTTGTTGAAATTCCTTTCATCTACCTATTTTTTTTTTTTTTTGAAAATATCGCCATTTTCCAAGTGTAGCTTAGATGTGGCACAAAGCCGAAAGAATAGGACACCCAGTGAGGATCGAACTCGCTGTTCAGTCGTAATTTTTCTAGCGAGACAAGCTTGCTAAGCATTATACCGTCACGAGGTGGCCTTTTGTTTTAATATATATCTGCATAGGGCTATATTCAAATGTTTCTTGGTAAATACCCACGAATACGTTATTAAGAATTGTTTTTAAATGAAAAAAATATGTTTCAAGTTGAAGACAAAAACTGCCTTAAACGTGGCTTGTTTTTAAGGGCACCTCGGTATTAAATTCGGCCATTTTCCCGTAGTACCGCGGTTTAAAATCATCCCTGCACTTACTTTAACTGTTTTAAGAGATTTGAATTAATATTAATTTGAACTCAATTTTTATTTTTGTTCGTGATAAATGACGAAATAGGAAAAAAAATGTAATGCGTTTTGTCCTTCAAACGGTCTTAAACTAAAAAAAAAAAAAAAAAGAAAGTATCCTGATGGTTTTTTAAAGGACGATCTCCCTAAGTGCGTACTCGGATCTTGTGAATAGTTATGTTGATGATACAATGTTATATGGGTGCACCTCCAGATATCGAGATGGCCAGAATCTGACAGCTGACCTCTCCTCTGACTTAGCTTTAACGGCTCTATGGGACAAAAAAACTGGTCACATTCAATACATCAAAAACAATCTTTTAACGTTCCAGTATTACTGAGCAGTCCGTGAATTTCCATTTATCTTTCAAAGAGGCCCCTTACCTTGAACTGCTATCAGGTCTTAAGCTCACTCCAGATCTCATCTCTAAATATGCTGGTGGAATGGTCAGTTTCCTGTACTGCTGGAATAAGTACCTGCTTACTCCGACCATGCTATACCGTTACAAGAACCAGATCAGACCGGAAATTGCTGTTACCCAGACTTCCCTTTTCAGCTTTAAAGTCCAAAACCTTCTATGCAGACTTGTGCAAGATGAATTGTTTTCTCCCCTTGCAAGCCTTTTCCCACAGACGTAACGTTGCAAGACTTTCGATCATTGTTTCCATGGAAAATGCTCAAATGAGTTACATCCCCGCATTTAAGACCCTCCACGCTGCATATATTAGGCAATATATTTTCGTATTTCTTTATTAAGGAGTGACTTCCCCTTGGATAGCTTCTTTCCAAGAACTGTTACTTTGTGGAAAAGAATCCGTGGAAGTTATTTTCCCGACCACTACGATATTTAACCTCTTCAAATCTAGAGTTAACCGTTATCTTTACCCATATATCCACATAAACTACGCTTCTTACTATTACCGCTCACACAGTTGCCTTTAGTAAACCTCTATCTTGAGTGAACTTGGAGTTTTCTATTGAATGAACGTTAGTAAAAAAAAAAAAAATAGGTGCTACTCTAGTATATGTACCGTTCATTTTCTACTATAGTATATCGACTATTCATTTTTCAACTATGATATAATATTTACCCGCTGTTGAAATATGAAATATGTTAGGGTTAAGGTTAAAGGCAGTGAAAAGGGAACTGTTTATGTATTCAAAAACATTAACAATTTTTTTATACAAAAAAATTTTTAAATTATCAAATAGTGATTTTAATGTTGGTAAACCGATTTGATGTCATTTAAAAAAACAAATAGCAGTAAACAGGTCATCATTTTTCCTGGGCATTTTTCCAGCAATAATGAGTACATTGTCATTTACGGTGGGTCGCAAATGCCTAAGTAGATATCATACTATAGCAGCACCAAAGATAATAGCAATAAAACGAAGCACATTCTATAGGGTTTCATTTATTTATATAGTCATTTCTCTGAAGGTTTACGTATAAATTTATTTTAGTCCTAATTTAGTAAAAACAGGTAACAAACTGAAATCGCCTGGTTACATATTAATCGTTGTCTATTCAGCAATCTTAGCACTT